GGTTCTCGTCCTCCCCTAGGAAGACACTGTGGGGTAGCACTGGGAGTAGGCCATTGCCTCTCGCCCTTCTGTAATATTTTTATTTATTTATTTATTTTTTACCAACTGGTCAGTCTCATGACATCCATTTTTCTTTGATTTAATCTTTCTGCGACTCGGGTAGATGTTGCAGGCAGTTGTGCGTCCACTCTGCTGGTGACACACATTATGCATAGGTGGGATCTTAGATTTGTGTTTCCCTGTGTTTCAATTTCCCAATAGCAAAATGGCAATTGCAACCCATAGGCTTCCTGGCTAGTTTGCTATCTGGAGCATCAGTTCAGAGATTACATATGTTTCTATTACTTTTGGGCAGTTAATCAAAAGTGTTGCAAATTTTTGAGTGTGAGTCATGTTCAGAATTTATGTGACTAGCAGTTTATGCACAAATATGTCTGTGGAGATAACAAAAAGAAACACCCCAAAGAACGGCCAGAGTTCTAGCTCTGTGATAAGCTACGGATTTCATGTATTCTGTTTAAGTAAATTTGTTGGATTGCATGCATTTCTGCACATTGCCAAAATATGGGCCACTATTTCGGAGGGGGGGGGTGGGGAGGTGGGGGTTAGAAGATAGGAATTTATGGGGGAAAAAAAAAAAAAAGTAGTGAGAAATATTCAGAACTTGCAAGTCAAAAAGCCTTAAACAAAATAAAAAGAGCACTGAAACCCCCCAACCACCAAGCAGCAGGTACATACATGTATGCTTTCTCCAACTGCTATCTGTTCTCTATAGACTGGCCGGTTTCATAAATGAAATACATCTTCCTTGTAAATATGTTAATTGTCTTTTGACAGGTCGCAGCTATCCTCCCACATCTAGCCTGCCCCAGGCCATGGGGAAGGCACAGCATTTCTCCAATTCTCACCTATTGTCATGCTTCTTAGGCATAGCATTGCTTTTTCTGCTGTATTTTACAGGTCACCATTAACACAACCGGGTAGTAAAATATTAGCCAATTATCACAGACAAGCAGTTCTTCCTTGCAAAGCCTTTTCCACATGCAGAATTGCACTGGTTTAATTAAAGGTGTGTTTTAAAATCAAATTAGTTAAGCCAGTGCAAACACTGGAATCTATTTAAAGTTGGTTTATATTGATTTAGCTTAATCTGATCAGGAAATGACTGAAACTAAATTGATACAAAGCAGATTTAAATCACTCTAAGTGACCACATCTTGTGCCAGTTTAACTAAATCATTTGCAAAACAACTTTGTGTGGACCATATCCCACTGTTGTGCCAAGGAGAATGAGCAAAAAAGGTGGATGAAATAAGCAGATACAGAAAAGACTCTTAGGACCTGATTCAGCACTGTAGAAATTCAGTGCATCTCTGCTGTTGTAGAGTTGTAGTTGGCTGTAATCATAATAAAACTCAGAATGGAACATAGTTTGATAAAATACCTGCTAAGCATTTCATAAGGTTTCCAACCCTAAAATGGGGCAACTTAAATGTTTTTTGTTGTTTTGTTTGTTTGTTTTGTTTTACTAACCAACTCTAGTAGTAGTTCTCATAAATATTCATATTTTCATTTTTTTCATTTTAAATTTCTGAAAACTTCTATGATTCTAGTCCTAGAGAAAATAATACTATTAAACCTTACTTGACTCTTTTTTAGAATTATTGCTTTCTGATCAAGGTTGACAGTCTTTCCTTTAGTACAAAAATGAGGTAAGCTCATTTTTATAAATAGTGCTCTTCTTTCCAAGTTCTGTTCTTTTAGTTCCACATAGGAAAGAAAGAAAGAAAAAAACTTGGGGGGGGGGGGGGGGGGGTAGTAGGGGGGAAGACAAAACGATATTACATTTCCACCTAAGATTCCCCCAAATAAAATCTTCCAGAAGCCTAAGGTCTGCGAGGGATTTCTTGTGGTGCTTTTGTATTGTAAATGTTGAGATTTTAGATTAATTACACAAGTTTTAGTCACCAATAGAGCTGGCCTAAAATTTTTAAAAAAGAGAGAGAGAGAATGCTGAAACAGCTGTAGCACTGCAAGTGAGTCATTTGGACCATGGCAGAGATGTGAGCAATAAGGTAGTTTTGCTTCTCTGCAAGCTTACTGAGGCGCCTTGTTGTTGGGTGCACCGCCAGGCAAAAAATGAATAATGTCTGCTAGCCTCATAAAAAATACCATGCTGCAGAAAACCTTGTGCCTTGTTAAAAGGGGTGGTCAGCAGTGTGAACTGGTTAAATAGCCCTTCCAGCGCTGAAGGCAGATCATGGAAACTGGTGCTTTATCTACGGATGCATGTGCTAGAGGGACTGTCCTGGTGACCTGCACTGGGAGGGACAAACAGGACAATTGTCAGAAGAGATCAGGCCAATGGGAATGGGCTGAAAGATGAACATAATGTTGATAAATTGTGCTTTTTGGAGGATTGCTGCAAATCAGCACAGATGGCTCTTTCACCCACACCCTAGCAAAAATTGTGATTTATGGCTGGAGGCAACAAGCATGTTGCCATGAATTATGGCAGTTTAAGAAGCTCGCATTTGTAATTGGGAGCTGGTAATTATTTACCATGAAATGTGATCATTACTGTCAGGTGACGATGACATTCCCCCACTTTATGAATTCAGTAACTTTTTAAAGACTCTGCATGAACTCATTGCAGGGGGTTGAAGGAGGAGCTCTGGCTTTCCTCCATCCCTGCTACCAAAACGGGTGTGTGTTTTGGCAGTAGTTTTGCTTGGAATATTCAATTCAGATTAATGTAATTTCAACATCTACTATCCCAAGTGTGTGGTGGTGCCACTAAACACATGCATTTGCCAGCTATGAAATATAGGCCATGTCATCCAGCATGGTGATCCTTATCTGTCTCCCATGTGTGTACCTTTCAGATTAGCTCCACTGAAATCAATGGCATTACAAGGGTTTAAAATCATTTGTGGTGGGAAGGAGTGATTTGGTCTGTAATAGTCAAAAGTTTAAAAGAAAAAAAAAAAAAGTGCAGCATCACATTCTGGTTACAACTGCTCAACCCGGTGCCTTCTACATATGCACAAAATGGAAGCAGCCAGGAGGTACTGAGAAGAGAGAAAGTCCTTTCCCAGGGCATATGAAGCCAAATCTCCTGCCTCTGTCCCTATTTAGGGGGTGCCTTTTATCTGGAGCTATACATGAATCAAGCACACGTTATAGTGTCCTGGGATACAGGTCCTTCTGCAGCCGTATTGTAGTTGTTCCTTCTGTTTTATCTAATCCACAGAATATGAATCCCAACATTAATCCCTCTATTTCCCACTGGTATGAAATTATCACATCCTTTAAATAAAGCCCTTAGGTTACAGAAAATAAATGTCTGCCTTCTATTTTTTGTCACTTTATGTTAACTGCATATACTGTAAATTCATTCTATTGCTGAAAACTTCTCGATTCCCCAAACTATCAGCCACGTAGTTGTGTGGGGACAGATGTCTTCTCCATTCTTGCTGCCTGATAGTTTGTTTGTTTGTATGTCAATGACCTTTCAAATGTTATCTATTTATGAAAGCATTTTGCGTCTTGGGCCCAGGAAGGCCTGAAAGGAGTATTCATGCCAAGAAAAAGAGACTAATTTTATTTTGCTGAATCATCATGTCTCTCAGAACAAATTACAGCTTTCATCCTGCAAGAAAGTACAGACAGACAAACGAAGTACGGATTTGGTCCTATACAAGTGTAGCTTGCCTGACGGGCTCAGTGATGCCATTTGCCTTTGGTCTTGACCAAACCTTCAGTGAAAACCCCTGTTCTTGGGCAACATTTTGCCATCTTCCTTTGCTCCTGAGCAGCCCTGTTCAGGTGGGCCCGACTCTGACGGCTATGTAAATGTTCAGCTGATAGAGATGCTGACCTACTCAAGGTGTAGCTCCCTTTCTTGAGTTAGTCTTAATCCCTTGCACCATGTTTTTGCCTCCCCAAACACCAGTAGTGCTTTCAGGAGGCAGTGAAAAAGCAGAGCCATAGAACCCAGGAGATGGGGCCTTGGGTTCACAACCACTGTATAGCATGTTGTTTGCTGGATGGATGCTGTTATATGTGTCAGCAGATTACTGTTTCATTCCAGTCCGTTTTAAATTTCTACATCTCTATGGAGTTGTTTGTGTTTCTTTTGCGTGTCTGGTTTTTTCTTTGTCTGTTTCCTTTGTTTGAGACGAGATGAGGAAATGAGATGAGACAAGACGAGAGAGAAGAGAAGAGAAGAGAAGAGAAGAGAAGAGAAGAGAAGAGAAGAGAAGAGAAGAGAAGAGAAGAGAAGAGAAGAGAAGAGAAGAGAAGAGAAGAGAAGAGAAGAGAAGAGAAGAGAAGAGAAGAGAAGAGAAGAGAAGAGAAGAGAAGAGAAGAGAAGAGAAGAGAAGAGAAGAGAAGAGAAGAGAAGAGAAGAGAAGAGAAGAGAAGAGAGGACTGCCCAGTATCCCAGGCCTTCACTGGGATTTTTTTTACTTCCCAGATCATTCACATCTTTGTCAGATCTCTTCATTAAAGAATATTTTTTCCACACTACAAATGGCCTTTATTTACAAATGGCATTTCTCCACCCAAGAGTAATCATGTGTTGTTGAACATGACAGAAAAATTATGTGGAAATACAAATTTGGGTAAGGTCTAGACAGCCATATAAAACCATTGGTGCTTTCAGTTAGACATGTGATGCCAGATGTATGTGAGGGCCACAAAACATTTGAGGAGGGATAGTGGTTGACCAGGGCAAAAAAAGTGGGGAGGCAGTAGGTCAGTGTCAGGAAGAATTAGACCTGTTTTGCTGCTAACCATTGATGAATCCAAAGACAGTCACTTCTTTCTGTACTTCTATGTCATTTGTCTGAGTTGCTTAACAGAAAGCAGACAAATACAAGGACGTGTCAAAGCAGGGACATGCATGCTGCATGTTTATACATTGCCTAGAAAGTGTCAGCCTGGATTAATGACTTGCTGCATCCCTGTACTGCAATTAATAGTCTACAAGCACAAATTGCCCTTGTTAGGGGGCAGAAGTAGAAGGTTGGAGATGGTTCCAGAGGTAGAAGGTTGCAGATGAAATAGAGGGAGGAGCACAAGGGATGGTAGACTCATTTTTGATGTATCTTTCAGGCTGTATGGGGAGCAGCAGCCCTGCAAGAGAAGGGACCAAGTCCCACAGTGAGTTTTGTGCCCTGTACATGTGAGATACACCATGCACTTTTCTTCTTCAGATCCAGTAGCATCAACGCCCAAGCATGTATGGCATACCATAGGTCTGTCATCATCCTAAAACATGCAGCAGGTCTCTGGTAGAAACATGGACATGTGCTCATGCAATGGGGTGTAGCCTCTGGAGCAGACCCCGTGCCCCAAACTCAGAGCTGAACAGCATCTACCCTTGTGTGATTAATGATTACCCTTCAGCCCTTATGGCTGTTCCAAAGAGGGGCAAGTGGTGACACCTACACCCAAATCACTAAAGGAGGCTTCATCCCATAGCATGATCACTGCTCCTTCCCAACACAGACTTTCACAGCAAACACCTCCCCCACCACTGAGCTCTGCACACCCCTGGCTGGTCAAGGAAAGTATATGGAAAATAATAAAGGTGGTAGGACTGTACATATGATGTCTGACCCCCACCCTTCACCCCACTTTCACTTGGGCTGGCCACAGTCCTGTTACCAAGTGAGACTGATGGCATTGATCCCTTGCCTCCAGGAAGGGCCTGAAGGTCTCCAGGACCTTCCCCAAACTCCAGGGGGTTTCCTTCAGCCAGGGTCTTTGCCTTGCTCTTCATAAGCCTCCTTCTCCTTTCCATTGCCACGTCTTCTTAATGGGAGCCCTTCTTTTCAGGTTCCTCTGCTTTCTGGGATGCCAGGCAACCAGTCTTCCCAATCTAAATAGCCTACGTGCAAAAGCACAACACACGATCAGTTTTAAGTGTCTTTACCCCATGTCTCTTTATTAACTGAAGGATTTGGTACGTGATACTTTTGTTTAGCCCAGGTGTTATCAAAATTTACAGCCAGCCCATTCCTGTTGCAGCTAGCAAGTAGCAGGCTTCTGCTTGAAAGTTCAAAAGTTCATTTTGGGACATCAACCCCCCACACGAACATACACCCAATTATCTGCTGCCTGTCAGCATTCACAAAATAAGCCATTTTTCATGTACAACACACACAGTTCCTTGCCATCCAATGCTGGATTCTCTGGACATGAGTAAAACTTGGAAGATAGGGCTCCTACTTCACTTGCAGAAAATTTGTAGAACTAAGTGTCCCTGACACAGTGACTTATCAAATGTGGGTGAATTTGGCCAGCCTGGGCTCTCCTGGGCTGCTTTTGCCCCAGAGTATAGAAAAAGAAAATGGTTAGCCACAGTGAGAAGGAGTGGGATTTTTCCTGGTCTGCACTGAAATTCATGAGCGCTGAAGCTTTTGTTTGTTTGTTTGCTTGTTTGTGTTTACTTGTGTTGGTATTGGTTTTTGTTTAACATCAAAGAAATAGGCTCTGACCTGCTGGAGATCCTGTGACTCATGAAAAACTCACAAAGCCTGGATGTGCTCCACATTCCTGACCTGTGTGAGCACTCCCATCAGAACCCTTGTCACAGAGCCGGTTGTCCAACTGAGGAAGGGAAATTATACCACGTGGCTTACATTCAGTGGCATTTTTCAAACGCTTTCGAGAGAAATCACAATGTGCTTGAAGAGTTTCCAGGGTGAAATATATCAACAAAATTATTCAGCATGAATAATTTTCCCAGTACTATTTACTGTAGCACATTAGGATCAAGAAGTAGAAAAAGGACAGGAGAGAGAAAGCAAGAGAATAAGAGAAGGAAATTCTCCTCCCACACTCTCAGAAGATGTACCATTTCTGGATTGCTTCAAACTGAGTGGAACCCAATAATTATGACTTCACATTTCCAAGAGAACTAAGCCCAGTCCCACACAAATAGCTGCACTGTTGTAATATGCTGCTGGCCACTCATCCTAATCCTGAACACGCTATAAAGAACTGACCCAGCGGGCTACCAGCGCTAATTCTGGTTGTGGCTAGGCCTCACGTGTTTACTTTTCATTAACCCTGTAACATTCAAGTTTTCATTTAATCTGTTACTTTTCTGTCTCTTGGTGTCCTCAACCTCTTGTGTCTTGAGTAGTCAGAATTCAGTGGGCGTGCTCAGAAAGCAGGTAGAGATCTTCAGCCAGCAAAAGGAGGCTAATCTGAAGAAGTTTATGAAATGATGATGTCTTACAGATTTTTATTGTTGTAAACCAGAGCCTGCTATGGATCAGCCAGGAGCAAAGCTGCTTACTGGCCTTTTCATGAGGGAGTTTTTCCTCCTTGGATAGACCATGTGAGAGCCTGAAGATTAGCAGAAACGAAGAGATATTCAACTTGTTTGACTAGCACTTTTCAAGAGTTGTGAGACCTGTTCCTAGGAAGTGCTTTGTGTGCACAGTGGCTTGAGTTAATAGAGCTGCTTACATTCCTCAGAAGACTCTTCTGGGGCTTCTGAAGAACAGCAGAGGCAGGGAAGGATCAAGACTCTGAAGTACTTTTGTGTTTGTATCTCACTTCCTGTGCTTGTAAGCACCAAGGCCTTGTGCCAGTGCACAAACATTGTCTTTTCAGCTATTTGCCTGCATTTAAAATAGAGAAACTCTAGAGGCATAGAGTTTACAAGAAATAGCTCTTCTACCAGGCATGCTTGTTTCTGCAGGCAACGACCCACAGAGAAGCAGAACTATAAGCCTTGTGCCTGGCTGCTGGTGACTTTCTCACCCAAATGACTAGACAGCCCTTGGCCTCTTGGTGGCTGGAGGGCAGCCCCTGGCACAAAGCTGGAGCAAAGCTTAGGTCTTCTCCCCATCCTTATCTATTCCGACCCTTTCAATGGATGCAGAGAGGTGTTCAGCTCCTGAGACTGCCTAGAGATGAACTTTTAGCTTAGTGACCCTGTCTGTGCAAAAGGCTGTTGCAGCAAAACTGCTCTGGAAAGAAGTCTTGTTCCAAAGTTCGCATAGCAACAAGAAATTTCCAAAAAGACCAGGTCCTGAGCACACGCTCAACTTGATGCAAACAAGCAAACCTTTTGATGTCAGAGGAATTGCTCCCAGGAGTTACTCTACCTGTGTGCCAAGGTCACTGTGTGCTGAATGTTCAAGAGTTCAGCAGCATTACAATGACTTCACAGCCCCATGACAAGAGAAATTCTGGTTTGTGCAATTTTAAAATTATTTTTGAAGGAGCATATCAGCTTTTCCAGTGCTTCCCTTGAAAAGGAGATTCATGTCTGACAGAACACAGCAAGAAAAGGGAACACAGAGATTTTTATGGCTTTTGTCATCTTTTAATATCATTTTATGAACTGTGGTTATAGCTGTTTCAAACCATAGCCATTGCTTGCTGCTTTGTTTCTACTTATCAAACTCAAAGCCAAAACTAAAAGTAAAGCCAGTATGTTTGACATACTTCATCCTGTGCAAAAGAACGACATCTAAAAACAGAGAACACATTGAATAAAAAAATAAAAAAAAATAAAAAAGGGAAGGGGAGGGAAGGGGAGGGAAGGGGAGGGAAGGGAAGGGGAAGGGAAGGGAAGGGAAGGGAAGGGAAGGGAAGGGAAGGGAAGGGAAGGGAAGGGAAGGAAGGGAAGGGAAGGGAAGGGAAGGGAAGGGAAGGGAAGGGAAGGGAAGGGAAGGGAAGGGAAGGGAAGGGAAGGGAAGGGAAGGGAAGGGAAGGGAAGGGAAGGGAAGGGAAGGGAAGGGAAGGGAAGGGAAGGGAAGGGAAGGGAAGGGAAGGGAAGGGATTCGTGCTTTTATACAATTATTGTTTCAAAGTCATGGTATATGGCTCTGAAGCCGAGCGGTGTAGCTGTACATTGCACAGACTAGTGTATGCCTCTGACGTGCTAAACACTGATATCTCCTTATAATGATGTGTTAATGTAAGGGGAGTGATTTTGCAAAATTTTATGCCTTATTAAGGAAATGATTCAAGCCCAGGAAATGTGCGGGTTAAGTGCTTGCTTTCATAAACATGGGTTATGGTGGAAAAAAAGATTTTAGATATTATGTGGAAAAATGCAGTAAAAAGCGCTGAATTAGCCCATTCCATTACATTGAATTGTTCAGCAATTATGGTCATCCCCCGGCCTAGAAAATTGAAGTATATGATGAAAACCCAATCTAAAGATATCCACTGCTGTGCTACTGAAGACATAGCATATCATGCTTAAAAGGCACTTAAGGCTTCGATGACCCTCAAAAAAAGTTATCTGAGGAATAAGTTTAAATCAGCTGCAGTCCTGGCCTAGTCCTGCCCTCCTCTCTTTTCTGTTGACAGTGCTCTCTTCTCAAACTGCTCACACAAATAGCAGACTGTCAGGAGCCCAAACGTGTGTTTCATTACTGGAAGATCCCATACAAAACTCTTTATCACAAAGCAAGAACCGTCTTTTGTGCTCACCATCCCAGAGGGCAGGATCAGGCCACCAGGCAATGTTACAGGGATGGCCTGTCTTGCTAGGGAAGGAAAATGTGTCATGGTCCAAGCTGGGTGGAGTGGAAGAAATAATTGTCAAATATTCATTTGTACTTGAAAGCCACTCTGTATTTCACTGCGTTCCCTGTGCTGTTGAGTTTGCTCACCACAACTGTTTCATTGCTGGATGTTATATTAATGAACGCTCACAGAAAGCATGCTTTTCATACACATGCTCGAAGGGTGTCTGCAAGCCTGTTTCAGTCTGAATAGCTATCTGCTGCGCGCCTTTTGAACGATGCTGATTTTCTCAGTTCTATTTATGATCTAGTATTTACTAGAGACATTCGCACCTACTGGGTATTAGCTTAGCAGATCTTTCTGTTTCAGCTCCAAAAGCCACTCGCTGTTCCTTCTTTTTTTTTTTTTTTCTCTCTCTCTCAGTTCCCTCTCCCCAACGTTTAGAAGCAGTAACTTTAGCCAGATTTTTTTTTTTTCTAAATTTAAAAATAATAATGTGGCTCCTCACTATAAAATGTCTGTCTCCTCCACTCCCAGCCTCCTGGGGGTTGCCGTGGGCATGGTCTGCAAATTAAGTGAAGGCACTCAGCCCTCAGTTCAGTTCTAGTCAAACATTAGCTGCAGTGTTTACCCTTGTGTAATCTTCAGTTTTGCATTAATTTAATACTGCTCAGCACTTTTTTTAACATATTCAGCAAATCCGTGGCACATAGTGCTTTGTGTCTGTATCTCCCCCATCAAACCAAGTTTTGATTTTTTAACCAAACTCATCAAAGTAAACTCCTCGCAATACTTTTCTCCCTCTACTTTGATCTTTACTTAATAAAAAAATAAAATAAAATGTTGCTTTATGTGGTAATTCAGCTATACTCTGAGGGTTTTTTCCCCCCTTAACTTCAAAGAGAGCAGATAGGAAATTGTTTTCATTTTTCGTTCACATTTCACAAACAACATGCTCTAGTTGCTTTTGAGCAGCAGAAGGTAGCAAACGTCTCCCAATTAATAATTCCCAGGTAATACCATGGCCTCTTGTAAGCACCAATCTCAAGAAATTCTCTTCAAAATGCAAACAAATAAAACCCACTTTGAAGGTCTGGCTAAAGGATGGTTAAAAATGGAGTGGGAGCACATCATCCTTCTTAATCAGCCTTCTATCTTTGAACCTGACCCTGAGTGAAATAAAACAAACAAATCTTGGAGTATTTTGTTAGAAAGCCACTCACCTCCTGGCTTCAAAATGCAAAATCCCTCTGCACTGGAACAAGCAGCGATTAATAGCACATAACCTGGAGGTCTCACCCCAGCCGTGTTATAGATAATCCCACAGCAAACAAGGGAGAGACTTTGTCCAAGCAAGGAACGGAGGTAAAGTCAACACCAGATCCCAGGCTTTTGGCTGGGAGTTTTGCCCACATAACGCGTTAGCATTTTACACCCACCAAGGACACCTGCATAACTCCCACTGGACGACGATCATTGCGTCGGCATTTGCAGCACACAGTCTTTTCTGGGCTGGTGAGACACAACGGCACATGCCTCACACCACCTACGCTGATATTAGTAATGCTACAAAATCAATAGCCGTGTAACAAAAAAGGCCTGGGGCTCTCTATGCTTCTTCTTGTGGGAACTCACACCAGGCCTGGAGAGGACTGATGGCACTGGAGACCATTTCCACCCCATGTAGCAACATCTTGTGAGAAGATCTGGAACCACTGAGGGTGCTTAGGCTGTGGTTTGGCTCTGCAGAGGTGCAAAGACCAAGGAAAAGCTGCCTGAGCTTCACCATCTCCCTCTGCAATGCATTTTTCATCAAATCTTCCTTGCCGTGCAGCTCTCAACCCAAGAGCACAACATGCCTGAACGCGGCCCTTGAGGAGGCAGTGTCAATTCCTGGTGTACCGAATTGAGCACAAAGAGTGAAAATCCCAGAGCAAATAACAAAAAAATGCTGCTGCTTCTTTTAACATAAATTCCCCTCAGTTTATTGACATACATTGCTTTGTTTCTTCTCCCATTTAGGGAAGTGTACAATTATGTGCGCGGCCGGGACGTGGAAGCGCCGAGGCGGCTCTGCTGGACAGTCCCGCGCCGGCCGAGCGCTCCCAAGGGAGCCCCTTGATCTCCTCACGCCTGTCTGAGGCCCTGCACCAGCCAGAGAGATTAAGGAAAAGTCGGTGAGAATTTAGGCACGCCTGGCTCCAACGAGCCATTTGCACCAATTCACAAAGGAGAAGCCTTGGAAGTGTTTCCAAAAATACAGGCCAGTCGTGTGAGTTAAGGCTGCGAGGGAGCCTAACGCACAGACTTTCCCCATAATCAGGGTTTACCTCAACTCTGTTTATTCTGTAAACTCTGGTTTCTCAACAGAAACAGCTCATCACGCTACACCCCAGCTCAACAGACATGCAGAAAGTCTTTGTAAAGGGCTAGCAGGAGAACGAGCCAGCTGTTTCTTTCATGAAAACTGTTTGTTAGCAAACTATCTCATCATTTTCCAAGCATTTGGGGGAAAAAAAAAAAATAAAAAAAATGATATTAATAATAATTGCATGCAACAGGAATCTGCCAGATTGATAGCACTGGGAAGTAAGGGAGTATCTCAGGCCACCGTCACCAGTATGGACAGTAGTAGTGTGACAGTCCCCAGAGTCCCTGCTCAGAGTAGGGCAGCCCAGGCTTTATCCTGGAGACAAGTGAATTATTCACAGCAAGCCTTTCTTCATATATTTTTATAAATATATATGTATATATATATTATTTTTTTTCCTTTTGATTGAATGACTGAATGTCTTCTGTGTGCTTATTATTTCACAGATTTATTCCTCAGAATTGTTGAATATTTCCCAGCCTGTGGATTGTCCACAGGCTGCTCTTTTGGGGACCGCACAAGCACCACCCCATGGCCCATCCCCAAGGCCACAGTGGTGCTATGAGTCCCATAGCCAGAAGGGGATGGCAAGAGCTCTCCTATGGCAGAGTTCTGCTGCCATGAAATGTGAGCTGAGTTTGAGACTGCTTTGCTCATGGAAATATGTCAGCTGCCCAGGCAGATTAATCCTGCTGCATCCCCACAGCTAGCAGTGGAGGTATGGACTGTACATGTAGATGTAGCCACCTGGCTCATTGCATTTCTGTCTCTTATTTTTGCAGCCAAATGTCAGGACCGAATACCTGTTTTCATTTATTTAGCATTTGCTTGGCCATCAAGCTGAGTTTCCATTACAGAGGTGCATGAACAGGATCAGCATGAATTCACTTTTCAGAATAAATCAGTCAAATATTTCTGAGAAAAGAAATGCATGCTGTTTTGTCTTGCTTGATGCTACTACAGAACAGACCCACCAAAGCAGTGTGAAGGGGAGACAGTGATTCCCGTGCACCAGGGTGGCTAATAAATTGAGGGCAACACAACCTGGATTAAGTTCAAACCACTTCAGACTCTTGACTGAAATACTGCCAAACCCTGAGCCACCCAGTCCCTCTCTCCCTCACCCCCAAAAAGTATGTTTAGATTCCAAACACAAAGCCTAATTGTTTATTAAGGAAGTGGTTATGATGGGAAAATAATGCCGCTGTGGAGGAAAGAGCAGGAGGGTTTTACAAGAGGCAGTGGGATTTATCATCATCTCCTCCAGATCAGCTCCCTCAGCCTTTTGTTCTTCCTTTGCCTTTGCTTTAATTCTTACTGAAATAGAAGTCGCTTCGTTGGCCGTGGACAGGATGGTATGCAAAATCCACACAGGATGACTGCATTGTATTGATATCATGAAAAAAAATCAGCTTTCCTTGTATTCATAGCCCTATGAGACCTCTGATTAAATACTTGGCCTTATTTAACCCCTGCTTTATTCTCCTAACACAGCTGGTATAATTACAAACCAAACATATTTTACACCTTGTTATAGTTTATTGCTGTATCTCCTGCTAAAGAGAATAATTTCACACATGGAAACTGGAATTAATTTCTCCCTTTGAGGATATAAGATTGTGAACTGGCACCTAACTGTCTATTCTGTGTAATGATAACCATGAAAGCACCACAAAAATTTAGAAAACATAGTCTTGGCTGCTCAGATCTTAGCAGCGTGTTTCCAGGACCAAAGTCATAACTCTATCACCTCCCATGGTGCTGTACAGGGGGCAGACTTACCCCAAGGAACCACTGATGGCAGAATCAGAAAATTCCTAATAATGGAGCAAGGCACAAAAAACCCCGTCTCGTTCCTAAATCTGCAGTGCTCACATCATGTATATCTTTACTCGATGATGCAGGATGACTCACGAAAATGTTAGCTCAAGATATATTTTAAACTCCTGAGCTAGCACTGTCCTGAGAAGAAAATTCTAATTTTGCTTCCTGTGGGCATACTTTCGAAAGCAGATTATAAATCCGAGTAGTGAAAATACACTCCCTTTTTTTCCACATAGGCAGTTTTGGAAGATCAAGATTTTTCACTATAAAAACAACAAATTGCCCACACAAACAATTTACATGTACACCCAAAACCACACATCCCAAATCCCATGCTCCCATTCTCCACCCTTGCACAGTGTGTTGCCCTCTTTTCTTCTCTGCTGCCTGGTTGGTCTAAGCTTGGCTTTGTGAGATTGCCCCTAGCTTCGCAATAACAAATCTAGGCCTTTCTATTGAGGCAGGAAATGTTCGTGCTCTAAAACCAGCAGACCTTGTTTCATTTCTGGGTGGATGCAGTTGGGTCTGCACATTGGCTCTGGGCATTTCGGCTGGAAAGCTGTGCTGAAGCCATTTTGAATGTCTAGCTTTGAAAGTCAGGCACAAAATGAGCTTGGAGGAAGCTGGTCCCCTGTAGGGGAAGTACTCTGGCATGTCAGCTAGAGCAGTGCAGCTGTCCTGACCAGGCTATCCACCAGGCTCTTCTGCCAATGCAACTGTACTGTCCCTGGGAACCCCTTCCCTGCTTTTAGACCCAGTTCAGAGTGCCTCATGGTGCTCAGATGACCTTGATCCCAACCACACTCCCAGATTCCCCATCTGCTGTCCACTGCATGTATGTCTTGGTTTTGTCTTTTGGACCAAACCAAGTACTCTCTCAAAAAAATAAAATCCGGGTATGATTCAGGGGAATAGCTGACTTCAAGGGCTGCTGCTTACAGGGAGCACAGGCAGGATTACAACTGCTTTAGTTCCCTACAGTACTGCTCTATTATCTTCCAGTAGGTTTTCAGAACTACAGAATGGTTAAGGTCAGAAGGGAGCTCCAGAGGCCATCTGGTCCAACCCCCTGCTCCAGCAGGGCCCCCCAGCACAGGGTGCCCAGGACCACATCCAGATGCCTTGTGACAGTCTCCAAGGAGAGAGACCCCACAGACTCTCTGGGCAGCCTGGGCCAGTGCTCAGCCACCCTCAGTAAATACATATTTCTTGATGTTCATATGCAGCCTTCTGTTTCAGCTCTCTCAGACTTTCTGGATATGACAGATGCTCCACTCCCTTCATCACCTTTGTGGCTCTTCATTGGACTCTCTCCAGCATGTCTATATCTCTCTTATACAGGGGTGCTCATAATGGGACATAGCACTCCAGGTGTGACCTCATCCGTGCTGAGTAGAGGGAATGGATCACCTTCCTTGACCTCCTAGCAACACTCCTCTTAATGCAGTCCATGAGTGCATTAGCCTCCTTTGCTGAGAGGACACATTGCTGGCTCATGCTCAACTTGCCCACCAGGACCCCCAGATCCTTTTATATAAAGCTGCGTTCCTGAACATACTGGTGACAGGGGTTGTTCCTCCCACAAACATGCTAAGCACCTCACCAGGGTGACTCATGGTTGTTCTCTTGGGGAAAAAAAAAAAAAAAATTGCTTTTATTCAAAATTTCTTTCAAAAATTTGAACTTCTGTTCAAGGGGAAAAAAGACTTAAGAATTTTCATGAAAAAAAAAAAAAAAAAAAAGCTTGCTTGATGAGAAAGCCAGATTTTCAGCAAAAAACAACAAAAGCCCTATGGGCTGGATGGACACGGCTGGCATGAGCAAACCAGAAGTGTCTCCTTGGAGGGACAGAAAGTACATCCTCCACTTTCAGCCAATAAGACATCAAAGGTAATGGAAAAATGGATTTGCTTTCTGACCAGAGGAGAGCACTAGGTTATGGACTCCATTTCCAGACATCTTCTGTATGTTCCTCAGCATTTGTCTGGTATAGTTTGTAAAATTTGCCAGAAGCGTCAGCTTCCGACAGATCCCATGGGAAGTCACTCCCCAGCAAGCAAAGACATTTAAGAGTTTCTGCTTGTTCTCTGCATTGTTTTACTTTCCATACTGATGGAGGCTTACTCTCTGGTCACTTCATATCAAATAAAATGGGATT